TTAGCCCCTATTTTTTATTTTTAATTATTTATTTATTTATTTGCTTGTTTTTTACTTCCTTGTACGAAGTAAAAAGGAAGTATTGTAATCGCAAAAAGCTTCAGGCAGCATATTTCAATGAAAATATCCACTTTTGACCACTTTCGAATGCAATTTAACGATGTTTTTGCATGATATCTATACAAAAAGACAGAATAAAAGACTCTTTTCCTCCAAAAAAACTAAAAAAACTGCTTTAAAATGAATTCTGAAGAGAATTTTTCGTGGCGTCTGTACGTACGTGCGTGTGTACTTACGTATCTCGCATAACTCAAAAACGAGTAGCCTAAGAACGTTGAAATTTTGTATATAAGACTACTATAACATGTAGATGTGCACCTCGTATTTTGGTTTCAGTCGGCCACGCCAAACATTTATAAATATATACACTCTGTTACCCGGCTCAGTGATCTCAGTTTCTTTACTCTTATATGTTTGTAAATTGTACGTTTTGCTTTTAAAATGATTGAATTATGTTGTTCTTATCTTCCAGTTAAAGTTTTTATGCCTTTCGTAATTCTGGAAGCAATATTTGTACAATTATCAACAATTTAAAAGCTATTTAAGTGCAGTTAAGTTTTAAATAACATGGCGGACATATTTGTTTACATTTGAAACAGCAGAATCGTAGATTTGTTGCCAATCTAGAGACACTAAGCTTCGCAACAGAAAAATAACGCCTTCATTTATTATTGCGAATTAAATCATGCTTAATCCTTTCTGGAATTTTTTCGAGGAAATAAGTATTTAAGATTTACTTCGTAATTTTTAATACAGATATTTTGAGTTTTTTTGTATTTTTGCCTTGTCGCGAAGTGAAAACTGAATTAAATTGAATGAGAAATACTCAATCGTCTGTGAAAAACTGTTTCTTTTTCGTTTTGTTTGCTTAATTTCTTTTATACATCGTTCTAGCTCTTTGTTATAGTATTTGAATAGAACATGTGGCAACGATTAGATAATTCTTTAAATGGTATAAATATTGTGCATTCTGAGTTTATAATATGAATGAAATATAATACTGTTAAGTAAACCTAGCGCCAGAGTGTCGTTTTTTTTCGCGAAATCCTTCGTCTCCCGTCTTGTTTAATCTTCCTACAAAATGTGGCGTCATTCTCGCAAATAGATCGCGCTACAGAACACTGTGAGCACTGTCAGTTTAATTATGGCCACCCGGTATATTTATCTTTTCCCTTGTATTGTCAGCTGTCGAGTAATATAAAAATCTTTCTTGATATGTTTGATTTATGTAAAAATTTAGCCCCTATTTTTTATTTTTAATTTATTTATTTATTTATTTGCTTGTTTTTTACTTCCTTGTACGAAGTAAAAAGGAAGTATTGTAATCGCAAAAAGCTTCAGGCAGCAAATTTCAATGAAAATATCCACTTTGACCACTTTCGAATGCAATTTAACGATGTTTTTGATTATCTATCAAAAAGACAGATAAAAGACTCTTTTCCTCAAAAAAAACTAAAAAAACTGCTTTAAAAAATGAATTCTGAAGAGAATTTTTTTTCGTGGCGTCTGTACGTACGTGCGTTGTGTACTTAGTATCTCGCATAACTCAAAACGAGTAGCCTAAGAACGTTGAAATTTTGTATAAAGACTACTATAACATGTAGATGTGCACCTCGTATTGGTTTCAGTCGGCCACGCCAAACATTTATAATATTACACTCTGTTACCCGGCTCAGTGATCTCAGTTTCTTTACTCTATGTTTGTAAATTGTACGTTTTTTGCTTTTAAAATGAATTGCATTATGTTGTTCTTATCTCCAGTTAAAGTTTTTATCCTTTCGTATTCTGGAAGCAATATTTGTACAATTATCAACAATTTAAAGCTATTTAAGTGCAGTTAAGTTTTAAATAACATGGCGGACATATTTGTTTACATTTGAACAGCAGAATCGTAGATTTGTTGCCAATCTAGAGACACTAAGCTTCGCAACAGAAAAATAACGCCTCATTTATTATTGCGAATTAATCATGCTAATCCTTTCTGGAATTTTTTCGAGGAAATAAGTATTAAGATTTATTCGTAATTTAATACTTTGAGTTTTTTGTATTTTTGCCTTGTCGCGAATGAAAACTGAATTAATTGAATGAGAAATACTCATGCTGTGAAAAATGTTTATTTTTCGTTTGTTTGCTTAATTCTTTATACACGTTCTAGCTCTTGTTATAGTATTTGAATAGAACATGTGGCAACGATTAATAATTCTTTAAATGGTATAAATATTTGCTTCTGAGTAATATGATGAAATATAATATGTTAAGTAAACCTAGCGCCAGAGTGTCGTTTTTTCGCGAAATCCTTCGTCTCCCGTCTTTTATCTTCCTACAAAATGTGGCGTCCTGCAAATAGATCGCTACAGAACACTGTGAGCACTGTCATTAATTATGGCCACCCGTATTTATTTTTCCTGTATTGTCAGCTGTCGAGTAAATAAAAATCTTCTGATATGTTGATTTATGTAAAATTTAGCCCCTATTTTTTTTTTTTTATTTATTTATTTATTTGCTTGTTTTTTTACTTCCTTGTACGAAGTAAAAGGAAGTATTGTAATCTCAAAAGCTTCAGCAGCATATTTCAATGAAAATATTTGACCACTTTCGAATGCATTTAAGATTTTTTTGCATGATATCTATACAAAAGACAGAAAAGACTCTTTCCTCCAAAAAAACTAAAAAAACTGCTTTTTAAAATGAATCTGAAGAGAATTTTTCGTGGCGTCTGTACGTACGTGCGTGTGTACTTAGATCTCGCATAACTCAAAAACGAGTAGCCTAAGAAGTTGAAATTTTGTATATAAGACTACTATAACATGTAGATGCACCTCGTTTTGTTTCAGTCGGCCACGCCAACATTTAAATATATACATGTTACCGGCTCGTGATCTCAGTTTCTTTACTCTTATATGTTTGTAAATTGTGTTTTTTTGCTTTTAAAATGATTGAATTAGTGTTCTTATCTTCCAGTTAAAGTTTTTATGCCTTTCGTAATTCTGGAAGCAATATTTGTAATTATCAACAATTAAAAGCTATTTAAGTGCAGTAAGTTTTAAATAATGGCGGACATATTGTTTACATTTGAAACAGCAGAATCGTAGATTTGTTGCAATCTAGAGACACTAAGCTTCGCACAGAAAAATACGCCTTCATTTATTATTGCGAATTAAATCATGCTTATCCTTCTGGAATTTTTCGAGGAATAAGTTTTAGATTACTTGTAATTTTTAATACAGATATTTGAGTTTTTTTGTATTTTTGCCTTGTCGCGAATTGAAAACTGAATTAATTGAATGAGAAATATCAATCGTTGTGAAAAACGTTTCTTTTTCGTTTGTTGCTTAATTTCTTTTATACATCGTCTAGCTCTTTTGTTATAGTATTTGAATAGAACATTGGCAACGATTAGATAATTCTTAAATGTATAATATTGTGCATTCGAGTATAATATGAAGAAATATAATCTGTTAAGTAAACCTAGCGCCAGAGTGTCGTTTTGGTAACAAAGTAATTTTAAAGAATCATTTATTCTATTGTGGTTTATGAGCTATCGCGAAGTAGGTTTAATTCAATCTAATAAGTTAAATGAAATGCAAGAAAAAATGCGTATAATTTAAAATTCCGTACAAGGAAGTCATGTGGTGTATACATCAGATTTTTAATCACAAGTAAACAGAAATGATAGTGTGTATTTTGTAATTTGAAAGTAGTCAGGTTCATAATTTGTCAATAAACAAAATTCTTGAATGTTATCTTGCATTCATACCTACCAGTGGAGTCGACATTTTTTTTATTTTTAAAATGTGTTTTTATTTTTAAAATCTCCAGTGTGTATATAACTTAGTACTCAAATTATTTATGCATCTGTTGTGTCATACTTATGGAACAGTTGCTGTACATAAGCAAGTTAGACATATCTGCTTTCTGCTGTATTAACCTACTCTCTTTTGCTCTTCATCCTAGCCAAGATGTACCTCAGTCCTGTGCAAGTTTCCTTTAAATATTTTAATATTAAATCATTATCTTCAGAAAAAATATTTTCTGTCTTTAAAAGATATATTAAATTCGGTCTGTAGCTTTTAATTAATGTAAAATTATGTTCTGTTTTGCAATTTTGAGGAGGAAGGGAATTAACTCCTCCATTTAGCTTGAGTGAATAAAGGTATGCTTTTCTTGTTGGCTTTGTTAACCATTTAGTTGTGTTTTTCTTTGCTCTTAAAAGTTTATTTTAGTTACTTTTAAAATCATATGTTTAGTTATTTCAATGTAATTGTGTATCACTTATGATGATTAGAAATCCATAGCTATTGTATGTTGATTATTAAGCCTATAAAAATAGCATGATTAAAAAGGAGCCCAGTTAGATGCAACCAGAGTATTTGCTTTCATATACATAAATCAAAATATATGAACCACATTTTATTTCTTTTAAAATCTTGCTCATTAAAATTAATTTTTACGAGAAGACGTGTATGTGTACACATTAAGGAAAAGAAGCATTTATAAAAATATTAAGTATGCATTAAATTTTTTTCTTGACACTAGTTTTATCTTTTAAGAACATAGATGAGTATGAGTAGTTCTGAATTCTATCACAGTTTTTCCTGAGTGTTGCTTTTTTAAAGTTAATACATTTATTTATTTTTTAGATGCATTATATAGGGAACAAACTCACCCTTCATAATGTCTGGATAAAAATTTTCTTTTACCACATATTATGTTCATTATGTATATCATTTTAAAATATTCTCTAAAAGTGTAGCAGAATTTACACTAAAAGTATTCATAATCTATGAGACTAAAAGTGTAAAATAATAAAAAGTGGATGGATGATTAGGAAAGAAGCTAAAAGGAAAGTCTATTTGGTTATTATTAATTTATGTATATTGGAAATTGCTGCCTGCTATGTAGTTGTAAACTAATTTTTGTGTATAATCGTACTATTGTAGGTTCAACTGATGGGGCTATTCATGTCTGGAATTCTGATACTGGTTTGCGTACTGCTCTATTACAGTGTGGCCATAGTAATCCTGTGCACTGTGTGCAGTTTAATCCAAAATATATGATGTTGGTCTCTGCATCTAATCAGATGGTATGTTTACATTTGTATAAAATTAATTAAATGTTCTAGTCTTGAGATTTGCCCCATTTTAGAATATTTAAAAGCAAATTAAATCAAATATATTTTTTAACCAAAAATGTTAATACTTTTTCTGTTGAAATGATAATGTTATATTTTTATTGAAGATTTGCTTGATATAAACTTGTATTTTTCAAAAATAGCCAAATTTTTATCACATTTAAAAAAGAGTTTTAAAATGTAAATTTTTAATACTGCAGTTTGTAATAGTGATTTTAAAATGTTAGTAAAGTATTAGCAATATCAGCTAAGTTTCTTAACCATTTGACTGCTACGTGGCAGAAAAGCGGAGTGTTCATTTGTCTCAAAAACCGCAAATTTCAGTGTGTCTTTATTGCTTTACAATACGAAAAGAATTATTAAAATTGATTGATATTTGTGTAAATGAGAGTGTTTTATTTGACATCATAAAGTCAAATAAAACCTGCAGTTTTCATGTGTTCTTGCAAGAATTACTTAGTAGTCAAACGGTTAAGGTAATTTATTTAAAAAACTTGAAGTGTACAGAGTTTATTGAAAATAATCTTTGAAGGAGCTTGATTTTAGAAAAAGTCATAAGAAATGGTTATACAAAAAGAAAGAAAAAAAAAAAAAAAATCCTCCTCTCATTTTGCAAAGAAATTGGTTTTTCCTCCTCCCCGTTCTTATAATGGAGTACGCTTTTTAAAAAAATAAATAAATAAAAATGCTAGACACATTATTTGCCTGTTAAAAATAAAACAAGAATATTTTAATTTTATTGGTGAAATTTTAAGTAGTTTAAAGTAACAGTAGCTGAATTTCAAATATTTAACAGCTTCTTTATATACATTGTTTTATTTATGAAATGTAGGGAAAGTTGCTTAATTTTTTTTAACGAGACCAGTTAACTTTGTTAAACTTCTTATAAAAGTTCAAACTGAAAAAATACGTAGTACTTGTATATGTTTGGTAGTTGAAATTAGGCGTGATTGAGAACTTTTTGAACTTATTACAAGGACTGCGTTGAATCTTGTAATGTGATAATATACAAATATCATTAAATACTTCAAGCCTCTCCCTATCAAAAGCAATCATTTGAGTTTTATATCCTTCAGCATACATCTTTCAGTTAAATACATCTAGTTGTGACAAAAGTTTTCCACCAAAAAATGTTCTTAATAAAGTTAGGAAAAAAACATGAAATCAGTACCTTTAGTGCAGGTAGTAATTAGCACCCAAATCTATGATTTTCTGTCACCGTTTTTGGTAATTTTTCAAAGCCTTCAGCCCAGAAACTTGGTAGATGGTAGTTAAAAACTGTTCAACTCATTTCGGATGTCCTGTGCAGAATGGACGACAACATGTAGCTGCAAGTGTGAAAAAAGGTAAAAGTCTGAAGAAAATATGTCAGGGCTATTTGGTGGGTGTGGCAAAAGATCCAATTCGAGTCATTACAGAGTCCAACCAGTGAATGCAAACACGTGTGGTCTTGCATTACTTGATGGAACGTTATGTTTTTGCTCTGGAACTCAGTTCGACATTTTTCCTAGATAGCAGCGTTAACAGGGACTAGCATCTTGCTGTAAACTGTACTGTTGAGGATTTTTCCTTTTTTCAGATGCTCTTTATGGATAATACTATGACAATCCCACCAGATACAAAATACGATCTTTTTGTTAGTCAAATTGCATTTGCGACGCTGCTGATGGGCTCACCGGGCAAAGACTAACCCGCTTTTTACCCTGTGTTGTTGAAATAAATCGACATTTAATCACAGGTGAGGATCCGGTCCAAAATTTTGTCCTTGCGCTTATACTCGAACAGATTAGTGCAGACCCGAACACATGTGTCCTTACCTGCTTGAGTCAGCTCATGCAGCACCCAGCAATTTAAATTGTACCTCTTATTGCAATGCATACCGTGGCTAATGGACATGCCACTAATATGTAACTCCTTAGCAAGCTGTAGCGTGGTGCATACTGATCTTCTTTCAGAAGTTCTCGCAGGCAGGTCTCATCATCAGCAGGTTGGCCAGAGTGCTCTGCTTCTTGAATGTCATAATCTTTGTTTTTGAACTTTCGATAGCAAACTTTCACAGTGTCATATGATACAACATTAGTACCTAAAGCTATACACCTAATTTGGTGACATTCTGTAACTTTTTGCAGTAGAACCAGAAGTAAATGATGGTTCTAATCTGGTAGTGTCATACTTCTATTTCAGACACCTTGTACTTAATGATAACAGGTTTTTTTTTTTTTTTCCACATCATAGTGGTTAAGAAAGACTCTCTTTCAAATGCCAAAAATCATTTAACAAAGTATGATTAAACATGCCAATGCGCATTTATTGTTTACATACAATGTTACATACAAACGCGCATATAATAGTTGCGGTGGCAGGAAACTTTCATTAAAAACCAATATTTACATCTTCATGATTTAAAACTGTGTTATTGTTCTACACTTTCTTTTAAAAAATGTATTATTGTTGTAGGCGTTTTGGTTGCCATCAATGCCAGATGATGAACTGTGATACTTCTCGTGAAGTTCAGGAAGAAGAGGAGGGAGTTCATTTGTCACATACTCTAAATAAACTGTGATACCTTAAAACCATGATGTGAAATTTTTAGTCATATATATCATGTTAAGACAGTCTCAGACTTGGCACTTTTTTCTTTTACTTTATGTGCTGTTTTATATTGTGTTGTGTTGTAAGTGCTGTATGAAAAATCATTTCAAGGTAATAATTTATCTCTACTAAAGAAATTCAACCAAAGGAATTTTTTGTACATATGTCTTGTTAATGAAATATGTAACACTATCATAAATATCTATCTACAATCAAGTCATTGACATTCATTGTATATGTATAATAAAAATCTCAACTTTATAGTGCCTATGAATTATGAGCTATTTCTAATGTTGAATTTTTCGCTTATGGTGCTGTTTTGCTTGTATCGAAACAGCTGTTCCTTTTTACAGATTCGCACAACATTTTACTTTTCAAGGTCTTTGAACCTAACGGGTATGGCAGCTGAGACTGAAAAAAGGGGGGGGAATAATTAGTACGATGAGCAAATTTTCTTACGTTAATGTTATGTTTCAAAGTGTTTTTTGTAATTTTGGGGTATAGACTTAATTTTCCCCCCAGATTCTGTAAAATGTATAATAGGCATATATTTTTTCCCATGTCCTATTTTATGTTTTGTTAGCATTTAGTGTTAATGTTAGATTCATGAACACTACTTAAAGTTTTCCTTAAATATTGCTGTTACTACCATAGGGATAGAATCGTATGAAGACTTTAAATATGCAGGTCAGTCTCTTCCGTGCTGTCGTGGTCTTTGGTATTTTGTATGCATAATCAAGTTAAATGCTGAAAGGGCGTTTTTAGTTAATTAACAGAAGAGACTAGCAAAAAATTCAAATAATATGTATATTAAGAATTTTATAAGCGATGTGTGAAATATAATCCTGTGGTGTAATTCAGACCAAATTTAACTATTAAGATTATTGAATTATCAAATTTCAAAGTTAATGTAAAATAAAACATTATTTATGAATGTTTTAATAGATGTAAATAATATGAATTTCTCATTATTTATGAGAATGTCAAAGAATTTTCATTTGAAAGAGTTTTAATGTCTTAATGTGAGAATATGCCTCAGTGTCTTTGCTTTGTGATATATTTTAGCAATCACTGCTAAAGTAAAATCAAATAAGCAATAACTCAGGATAATATTATTTTGAAATATTATTTGCAGAACTCGTTTCATAATTACTTAATTGTAGTTTTTTAAATACTTAACTTAATTTAATCTGAAAATAACTTTTCAATGTAGTGAATTGCATTTTGATAATTTTTACAGTTATTTAAAACTGGGCTTTATTTCATGTAATTTTAACAAAATTTTTGCATTATCTCTGAAGGTGTACAAATCTCAGATTTAATTAAAAAAATAATAAAATTAATTGTATTTTTAAATGTATAATATTTGTTGTGTGTTTGTATATTATATATACATCCCTTCTTCCCAAATACTATGTATTGCCTTTATGTGTTTACTATAATATTTGTATTTTTTAATAGATTCAACAAAATCATACATTTATGGTAGTAAAAATCAAGTTTAGCAAAAAGGTGCAATTCATGATCTTGAATGAAGCAAGTAGTAATAATTTGATATCTAGCATATCTTATTTGTTTAAAGTATTTATAGATTTTAATTAATAGATTCTTGATAAAGCTCTCCTGAGCCCCTTGCTTTGAGATTTCTTTTAGATTTGTTGCAGATGCCATATTTTTTTCAAAACACGTCTGTTTTTAAATACATTTGGCAAAAATTTTTCTTTCTGCTTTCTTCACAAATATTTTTATCTCATCAGTGGCATAATGTACAAGACATTTAAACATGGGGTAATTGGGTAAAGTCCTGAATGAAGGGATCTATCTTTGGCAGATAGCCCTAAAGAGCTTTGCTATAATCAAATTTGCTATAATCCAGTGTATTTCTGATCAACTAACTTCTAATGTCATTTTTCACTTTCTAGGATTTTGTATTCTCTTGATTGGACTAAAGATTATATTCTCTTGAATGAAAGGATGCTATGTCATTTTAATTCCATTTTTTTTTAAAGCAGGCTTTATTTTTTTTTTTTTTTTAGCATTAAGCATTTTTAATTTCTGTATTTCCATCAGTATTACATTTTTCAGATACATGAAGTTCAAATATTTTAGATCTGACTTTGTTTTTATTGCCTACAGGTTTCCCTTTTATTTTGAAAGTTTTATATAGTTTTATTTATAAAATAATCTGGTTTTTATGGGGGTTGTAATTTTAGTGTAATATGTAAAACATTATTGAACTATTTTTCTTCTTCTTCCGCTATGCCACATCTGCTAATATTCAGATATTTTTATTAAAAAGGTATTGCTTTCTTCTTCAGCTTATACATCTGAGCTCATACATTTTCCATTGTATTGAAACTTATTAGATATCTCAGCTTTTAAATATTTATGGGAATGTACATTAGAAACAACATTATAGGCTAATTTTTTTTTATATGTATTACTAGATCAACTGTGAGCAGATTTTTTTTTTTTTTTTTTAAATGTGATCTGTTTTAGTACTCAATATTTTTTTATTTTGTCAGTATTTTCTTCTCTTTCATCTTCTACTAAAAATTATATTTCCTTGGCAGAAATAGCATTTTATCTTTCAGTGCTCATCTACTTTCATATTGTTTAAATATTATCAGTAAGAATTGTTAAAAATAATTTGTTTCAATTATATTCAATACTTCTTAGTTTTGATTTCTTTGTACTGAAAATGATCTTGTACTTTATGAAGCTTATAATAAAGTATTGCAATAACAGTATAATGTAAGTATGACTGCAAAATCAAGATATACATCAAGACTTCATTCTTCCAAAAGTTGACAAATGATCTAACAAAAAAATATTAACAAAAATCTTTCCAACTTTAAAATTATTTTTCAATGTCACTTCTTAAGACCATGATAATAATAATAATAATAAGACATGTTTCCTTGATAATAAGGTGAGAAAACTTGGTCTTACAGAAGACTTAATCTAAAAGAATAGGAAACATAGAATTTTATATTGTTATATCCCAATAATTTCCAATGAGAACTTTGTTTGAAGAATACTAAATTATATTAAACATTTAAAAATCATATTAGCCATGTGCATTATTCTGGCAGGACCAGATTAAGTGTTTGTAAAAGTTTGAAATCTTTATTTTGTTGGTTTGCTGTATATAAATTATTAAAAAAGAAAAAAAAAAAAAGTCCTGTATTTTAAATAATATAATATAGTGTTGTAATCCCAGTCAATCTGCCAGCTTCTACACTGAGCTTTGTATTTATATGTATTAAAATGATACTGTTAAAAATAATGTAAGTGTAATGGTAACAAAATGTATTTTATTCAATAATGAGCTTTTTATTTTTTTTTTATTTGAACTCTTGTATGTATTATGGTATATTTTTCTCAATTGTTATACAGGGTAAAGTTTTATATATGTGTATGTATGTAGGGGACCATGTATTGGTTGGTAATAGAAGGTTAGTTATTATTGGTGCTAGCAATGCATTTTCTTTCTATAACATTACAAATATTAAGATTGAAATGTGTTATAGATGTATATTTAACTACACTCCAACTATCTTATATAATTTATTTTATCCAAGTGTTCTTTTCTCTTATATAAATTTATTGAATTAATTTGTCCTTTGGTTAAAAATGAAAACTGTTCGATTGAAAGTCTATTTGAACTTGTAAAATTCTATTGCCTGTAGCTTAAAAAGTGGAACAGTATTTTCAACATATTACATTAGCTCGTTGGTGTTTGATTTTAATCAATAGGGCAGAAATTCTTTTTCAAAAATGTGTAGTTCTGAAATTATGGAGCTTGTGTGTCTCATTTGTCTTTGCATCTGCATTGTAATGCAGTTAAAATGTATGTTGTGGTAATTATTAACTTTGTATGGTGAGTAATGTATTAATATTTTGTCAACTTTTTATGAACTTTTCCCAGGTGCAGATATTAAGTGCACATTTTGTATTATTGTATTGTAACATTTTTTGTTATGTTGCTTTATGTATTAAATAGCAAAATGTAACTGAGTTAAGACTCTTAATAAAAGAATCATTTGGAAGTCCTTATTAGTTACACTTGATTGTCCCATGCTATTGCATTGCCCTTTCACTACTGCTAGACTATCAATCCCCCCTTTTTCCAGAACTAAAAAAATACATATACATTTATTTACATTTAGATTATTTTTAATGTGGTTTAGAAATTAAGCAAGTATAGAAAATATTGCTAAATACCAAAACTTGAATAAAAGTTATTTTTTGTTTCATATCCCATCGGGTTAAGAACCCCTGTTTTGATTTAAATCCATTTTTGCAAATGTGTCCATTTCAACGTACAGTTAAAAGATTTTCTGTGTATTTACCTATTCACAGTGCATACTCAGTATATACCTCACTTGCCCTGTAATTATAGAATCAATATCAGTTTTACTAACTTTTAAAAGAAATTCTATATGAATAAAAAAATTGTTTGCTACTACTGGTATTTAATTTCACAATTAAGGTCATCTCTTTTAGAACTTCGGCATTCTAGAATTGACATCCTTTCAAACAATGAGAAGTATCAAAACTCTAGCTGAATTTAAGCACTGGTTTGTTGTTGTGAGTTGTCTTTTGATATCCAGTATACAGGGTTCGTAGCGGTTCTTACAAGTGCTTATAAGTCCTTATATTTGAAAATAAAATATAAAGGCCCTTATAGGTGCTTACTTTTTCTTTAAAGCACTTATTTTTTTGTTTTTAGTGCTTATTTTTTGCTTTTAGTGCTTTTTTTTAATCCTTTGTTTTTAATGAAAGCGCATTTTTTTCCCTGTACCAAAGCCGAAACTAAATAAACAACTTTTCTTTGTTATATGCAACGTCAGATGGTGAAACTCATACTCACGAAAATTGCTTACCCCCCCCTCTGCATTAACGTAACCTATGGTGCGTGCGGAGAGAGTACAGGGACCAGGTGACGTCGTTTCTATTGGCCAAAGAATTGCGAAAACGTAGAAAATTCCGGTACATTCGGTATTCTTTTCCTCCCACCCAAATACACACGTTTGAATTTCTATCAAGATTTAATAATTTGCATTCTCATTCCGCGTCGGTCAGCTCTATTCGTGTTTATTAAGATCGTATGCTTATTATGAGTATATGTATGAATATTTATAATAGTATAGTTGCAGTAACTGCTGAAGTATAGATTAACTTCCCAAAAATTGGTGTGTTTTTACACAGATTAGCTTTCTAAGGAATAATATTCGGAATGGCTTAAATAAAAGGAAAGTAATCGAATAGTCAAAATAATTTCATTTTCTTTGCCTATACATTATACAGTATGGAGGTTGGGAGTTTCTCCGCAAAATCTCTAATATTGAAGCAGCGGACTTTTTTTGGTCACTGTCCAATCTGGATTGAATAGGACTAAAAGTTTTTGCGGTTTACCCAACCCAAGCGAAGATTGATTCTATTCCGGAAATTTAATACAGTCTGTTGAAAATTAGAATCAGAAACACCCCAGATTAGTAAGTCTCTTTCTTTTCCTTTATTTAGTTCTTTTTTCTCCGAATACCGGCAGGTGTTGATTCCGATTGCGTAATATCCCATATGGAAGCACGTATTGCGCAATAACGTTTGCGGTATTTTGCATTGATAATTAATTTTGATGTTCAGTCTGAGATTTGTTTATGCACACTTAAAAGAGTTTTACTGTGCTTTCTAAGCAGAATATTTCTCAGTTCCGTTGGTTTTTATATGATGCACATATCGAAATGTCAAAATAATTTATTTAGCTTAAATTTAAATCTAAAGAACAGCTACAATCTCCCCACTCCTCTTTTTCCAGTTACTATCCGGAATATTCGGGAATTTCGAGTATGCGGGTTAGTTAAGCTTTTACTGTTAAAGGATGACTGAATGAAGCAATTTCCTGTCTCTGATTTCAGAAATGTGCCTCTTTATTACTTTAAATTACTTTGCTTGGGATATATGTTAAGGGAAAACTGTTATGCAATGAAAATTTAGAAAATGTTCAGAATTTTGATTTAAGTTAAATTATTTAAATATTAATGAGTGGAAAAATACATTGGTATTATTAGGGTGCCAAACGAATATACAATTAAAATGGCTTATTATTATTTATTTTCTATATTTTCAACTGAAATATCATCATTAAATTTTGTAATATAGTTTAGTTCTGCATAGATGTTTTTCTCTCATTGTAAACTAATTCTGTAAATTGAACTGTCATTTAAAATTTAAAAAAAAAAGTGAATTGTTTTCCATTGTTGAGGTAATGCTCATTCTCTTAATAAATATTGCATAACTAATATTTTAAATTACAAGTCTAATTTTTCTTTTAAGGTTATGCAGTTGTGTATAATGTAATTAGACAGGCGCTTATTTTTTCCTTAAAATGTGCTTGAAAAGTGCTTATAGGTGCTTATTTTTTTAACTAAAATGTGGCTATGAACCCTGAGTATAATAAATCCAAAATAATAATATTGCTAGCGTGGCATATAAAGAATTTAATTTTGGGTGATGCAGTCTTATCATAATATCAAAACTACCATTGCTCAATTTTTTGTTTATAAATTTACCTTTTAAAATTAAATTTATTCTCAAAATAGTATATCTGCAACTATACCAGATAATTTAAGTAAAATATATTCAGTTGCATTTGTATTGCTGTATTATTAATCATGAAAGTTTAATAAAATACCGAAAATATTTGCATGTAATTTTATAAGGTTAAAAATATCTAATAATTTCACTCTGCTTTTTTTTTTTTTTTTTAAAGAATTTTTAACTTTTTTCCTACGGAATACATATGTGCATGAAAAAAAGGGGGGGACTTTGCAAGATCGATGGTGTAGAGCGTAGAAGGTTGAATCCATAATGAACAGCGAGAATTTTGATGTCATAGAATGCTGAAAAGCAGATTCACAATGAATAGAAAACTGGTAGCCAAGGCAGATCAAATCTTTATTTTATTTCAACAAACATGTTGTGGCCACAAACAGTTGTCACATTATTTGTGCCTATGTAAAAATGCTTACATAATGATGACGCAGTGAACAGCAAGAATTCTGATGTCTTAAGGCCTGTCCACAAGAGTACGCTCATGATGTAGTTGACGCAATTTTTTTTTCACCGGTGTAAATTTGCGTTACGCAGAAGACATAAAACTGAGTTCGCTCCTGTTCAGCTTTTTCGTCCGTAACGTGAATGAACAGCCAATAGTCGACCGAGTTCTTATCACGTGTCATAATCGGAAAATCTTGCTTACTCGTTTCAATATGGCGTCAGAACCACACAGAGATGAGTTTTTGCTTAAAAATATCATAACAGTATACAGCAATAAAATAATCAGCATTGTTCACGGCATCCTCAGATTTCGCAAGCCATATATATTGGTATAAATTTCAAATTCTCATTAAAGGGGGAAACTGTATATTTATAAAGCTATGATCCGACCGGTATATCCATGTGCTTCACCTGTTTATAATATCATAAGTAATAGGAACCTAAATAAATTACAGTTTCTACGAAATCAAAGTTTCTACCTTACAAAATTCTTAATTATTATCAATATTTGCTATATCATGTGTAATAAAAAGCTCTATAAATATCCCAATATTAAATACACCAAAAACTAACTTTAGCAATATAACAACTTCTAAGATAAAGCAGTTGACAGTGAAAGAGTATTCAATAAAATACAATTACGAAATTGGAGGAAAGTTACAACTTGAGTCATACGGCAGTCATGTATTGAATATTAATTAAATTATCTTTGCAGTGACTTCTACTTGTTACATTATTTTTTGCAAACATTGCTATCACAGATAGCTAAGTGGTCAGCCTGCTGGCTTGCAAATGAAAAGGTGGCGAGTTTGAACCTCACCTGTAGCCAGTGTAATTCAGTACCTATTATTATTATTGTTTTCATTTCTTATTTTATCCATTATTAGTTTTAATTTAGTTTAAAAATGTGCATTGTAAATAGAAACTATTAAACCCTTATGCAGAGTTGCCAACTCTCCCGATTTAGGCGGGAGACTCCCGATTTTCGACCGCTCTCCCGCCAACCCGATTTACAATATATTTCTCCCGACTTTTTCTTATTCTTAATATTTCTCACGATTTTTATGGAACTTGGCTTAATACTTCGTTATATGAACCAAAAAAAAAAAAAAGTGATTTTGGACGTCTGAAAGCAACTGAATTTTCTCTAGATTATATCTAAAATAAAACCTTGCGAATCAGATGAGAATTTCTGCTTTGTGAGTGACAGCATACGTATCCAGAAACGTCGTTCTCCAGTTGTCCAATGGGCATCGAGCTCCACTGCGTGTCATCTGGCATATATTAGCCAATGAGCACAAAGCAAGCTCAAGGCCGTTGCAAAGAAGATTCTTTGGCCGTTGGGCCGTTATTTGGATGTTCTTTCGTTATTTCGTTCATCTTGTCCTGAGTTGTGTGAGTACACGTGCCTTTGGGAAATAGTTTTAGAAATTATCGTCTTTTGTTATGTCTGCGAGAAAGGTGAAATACTCGTGCACGTTTCAAAAATCGTACACAGTTGACTTTCCTTCCATTATTTCTTCAAGGAAATGTAATAAATTTGCGATGTGTACCATCTGTCGTTGCGATTTTTCGATTTCGCTTGGTGGAAGGGCAGATGTTCTCAAACATGTGCGTACACAAAAACACAAGGACAACATGAGTTGTTTTGAAAAAACGAAAAATTAAATTTTTCTTCGGAAACAAAAGACCAAAAAGTGATTAATGCAAAATGTCTGTTCTCTGCCTTTTTACTGGAGCACAACCTGCCACTGAATGCATCGGATCACGCTGCAGCTTTATTTAGAAAAATGTAAATGTTTCCCGATAGTGAAATCGCTAAGAAATACTCAAGTGCAAGGACCAAAACAGGTGCAATTGTTAAAGAAATGGGTTTGTTTGAAAATAAATCTTCAGTTATTGATTGCATTAAAACAGCTCCGTTCTGCCTCTCTACGGATGGAAGCAATAATACCAATTCAAAACTGTATCCAATTGTTGTTTCTTTTTTTAA